GGAGGTTGCAGTGAGCTGAGATCACACCACTGTACTCCAACCTGAGCAACAGAGCAAGACTCTGCCTCAAAACAAAACAAAACAAGATTTCTAAACATATCTATTAAGGAAAAATGAAATAGAAAACTTGATTAGATCTATAACAAAGAGGCTGAACTGGTAGTCAACTCAGAAGAATGGTATTAGAAGTGAGAAGCAGAAAAAACACAGGAATTACATTTTTTTGTTCAGCGTTAAGGAGATTTTGCAAGATTAAAAAAAAACACACAAATCAGAAACTGATCATAAAGCTATAAGCAGTCTAAGTTGAAACTAGGAAAAGAAAGCTATCCCATTTTTTTTGGTAGAAATGATGTGATGCACACTTTTTTTTATTTGATCATATTTAAAAAGACAGAGCAGAATCACATTCATTTTCTTAATAGTATCACTGTAAACATAGCGAATTTTGTTTGGTGCTCTTAGATTGCTCTGGAAATTTCTGAAGAGTTGACCATAGCAGCTTGGTTAGCCTTTTCCTTTCCCCCAAGGCTCTCCTGCCCTTTGCATAGTGTTGGTGACAACTGATGCTAACTAAATAGCATGTGGCTGAGCTTGCCAAATCCTTTCCACCTCCTCCCATAGGCAACAGGGTGACTTGGCTGAAAGGCATTGAGTAAGCAAGTAGGTTATCAGAGAACAGAGGGAAGATTCCATTGTAGATAATTTCAAATATTAGAATTGATGAACTCAGAGTTTAACTGCTCAGTCCCTTCTTCTGCTGACCTGATACAGATATAATCGCAATGGATCTCAGATCTTTGGTCCATTAAGACATCGGAGTAATGTACTCAGTTCCTTTGATTAAAATGCGTTGGAGAAGCCATCTCTGGGTGGAGCAGAGAAGTTCGTTGATAGTGATGATATTATAAGAGGAAAACTGAAGCAGCAAAACAGCAGGCAGCGCCTCTTTCTTCTTGCACTCAAATGATTACTTCACTCCTGTCAGCTTTATAGTCCAAGCAAACTCTGCAGGAACAGCAGAGGGTGGCAACTGGGGCAGAGAGATGAGGAGACCTTTATCTGGATCTGTGGACCACTTCAGATCTCCTTGAATTCCCAGCATCATTATCTGCAGAAAACAAAAGGGAATGAAACCAACTGGTAATGCACTAATGAGCAGAGAATACAGGCTGACTATGGTGGGAAACGGCCATGCTGGGCCAGGGCAGGAAAGCCAGTCTAAAGGAGGTATGAATATGGGAGAAACCTGGCAGGGAAGGAAGAAAGGATGAATCTGCCAATTCCTTTACAGAAAGTTACATCTTAGGACTGACTGAGCCTCCTTACCTTCGTAGTTGAGGTAGTTATGGGAGATTCAAGGTTTAAGACTCCATTTTCTGGCCAATGCAGAAAAATGGCATAAACAGCTGATCCCTTTGAGGTATACCTGGGAAAACAGAAACAACACTGTCAAAGATACCTGGCTTGTTATCCTGATATACAACTTTATGCATTCCCTTTTAATGTTAATTTTAATTTTTTTTTTTCTTTTGAGACAAAGTCTCACTCTGTTGCCCAGGCTGGAGTACAATGGTATGATCTTGGCTCACTGCAATCTCTGCCTCCTGGGTTCAAGCAATTCTTGTGCCTCAGCCTCCCGAGTCACTGGATTACAGGTGTGCGCCACCATGCCTGGCTAACTTTTGTATTTTTAATAGAGATGGTATTTTGCTATGTTGAACAGGCTGGTCTTAAACTCTTGGCCTCAAGTGATCCACCTGCGTCGGCCTCCCAAAGTGCTGGGATTACAGGTATAAGCCATTGCACCTGGCTCCTTATTTTTTAATTTTTTTTTTGAGTCAGAGCCTCACTCTTGTCCAGGGTGAAGTATAGTGGTACAATCTTGGCTCATTGCAACCTCCACCTCCCAGGTTCAAGCAATTCTCCTGCCTCAGCCTCCC